CCTTATTCTCATGACATGAAGATATCAATAAGATTATCTTTGACTATTTTACAATTGAGAAGATGATTATTCTATGAAGTGTTCTAACATTTCAAAGACTAAAATCTTGAAAATATTGATTCCTGAGAATATGACAGAACTTTAGATGGAATCAATGTACATTCTTTTGATAAATCAGGGAAATGTGAAATTTCTTCATCAACTGATTTTAAGTATAAAGCTCTCTCGATAATGCAATTTGCTCAGTCAGAAGCAATATCTTCCAACATTTTCCAGTCAAACCAATGTTTGAAGTTAAAGCGTAGAAAAATTAATTTCCTTCCAAATGCACCACAAGTAAATTTTTCCATTTGCTATACATTCAATATGCCTAATTTACTTTTTATATGCATGATATACAATTCTCTTTAACTTAATATTTTTGAAGATTTTTAAAAGCATTTGATATCTTTTCATATCATATACACCACTTAACATTATATAGATATATTGATTATAATGAGAGAGATAATTCTGATATTTATTCCAAATAGTTATGTGTTACATCATCATCTTAATCCAAGCATACTTATTAATAATCATAAACACAATCTTCCAACATTTTTCAAAATAAAAGGGATTTCTAGTCCTGTTTTAAGCCTGGTTGTCACTATCAAAGTTAACTTGGTCCAAGTCATCTGTTGTCACTATCAAAGTTAACTTGGTCCAAGTCATCTGTTGTCACTATCAAAGCTAACTTGGTCCAAGTCAATCTGTTGTCACTATCAAAGTTAACTTGGTCCAAGTCATCTGTTGTCACTATCAAAGTTAACTTGGTCCAAGTCATCTGTTGTCACTATCAAAGTTAACTTGGTCCAAGTCAATCTGTTGTCACTATCAAAGTTACCTTGGTCCAAGTCATCTGTTGTCACTATCAAAGTTAACTTGGTCCAAGTCATCTGTTGTCACTATCAAAGTTACCTTGGTCCAAGTCATGTGTTGTCACTATCAAAGTTAACTTGGTCCAAGTCATCTGTTGTCACTATCAAAGTTAACTTGGTCCAAGTCAATCTGTTGTCGCTATCAAAGTTACCTTGGTCCAAGTCATCTGTTGTCACTATCAAAGTTAACTTGGTCCAAGTGAATCTGTTGTCACTATCAAAGTTACCTTGGTCCAAGTCATCTGTTGTCACTATCAAAGTTACCTTGGTCCAAGTCATCTGTTGTCACTATCAAAGTTAACTTGGTCCAAGTCAATCTGTTGTTGCTATCAAAGTTAACTTGGTCCAAGTCATCTGTTGTCACTATCAAAGTTAACTTGGTCCAAGTCATCTGTTGTCACTATCAAAGTTAACTTGGTCCAAGTCAATCTGTTGTCGCTATCAAAGTTAACTTGGTCCAAGTCATCTGTTGTCACTATCAAAGTTAACTTGGTCCAAGTGAATCTGTTGTCACTATCAAAGTTAACTTGGTCCAAGTCATCTGTTGTCACTATCAAAGTTAACTTGGTCCAAGTCAATCTGTTGTCACTATCAAAGTTAACTTGGCCCAAGTCAATCTGTTGTCACTATCAAAGTTAACTTGGTCCAAGTCATCTGTTGTCACTATCAAAGTTTAACATCAAAAACTTGGTCAAAGAAAAAACTGCAGTGTGATTGGATAATTCCCGTCCCCAAGTTTCAAGAAAAATAGGATGAGATTCTATTCCGTCCAAGTCATTATAAAAAAATCCATCAAAAACTTTGTGCAGGAAAACTTTGATAGTGACAATGGGCCTCTAAAAGCATTTCCAAATATTACAAGACACTATGGAATTTTGCAAAAATTACATTTTCAACTGTTTTTCACAGTTTGTTCTTATGTTGGAGGGTTGAGTGATCGCAAACATGTTTAATCCAGCTATATTCTTTAGGTGCCCGTCCAAAGTCTGTTGTTGGTTGCTGTCTGTCATATTTGTTTTTTCATAAATTAATTTTTGTCTTTTTTGGTTTGAATTGTTTTACATTTTGTTATGTCAGGGCCTTTTAAAGTTGACTATACATATACAGTATTAGTTTTGCTCCTTTTTGAAGGCCATACTGAGTTGCTTAAATCCAGGTCAGTTGTCTCATTGGCAGTCATACCACATCTCCTTATTTTTATATGTAATGGTCAACAACTGGTTACAGAATACCAGTAAGAAAGAGAGATTGATTATAAAGTTGGTGGATTATCATAAAACAGGTGGAAAGCTTACATGGAAAGCGGAAAAACAAAAGCTTAAGTTAAAAGTAATTACTTGAGAAAAAATTAAATCTTCCATATACCTGTTAATATGTGAGCTTGATATTGTTTCTATTTTGGTAAAGATGCATGCAGAGTGCACAGCTATCAGTCACAGTTGTACCATGAAAGTAGTACAATAAGTAGTTTTCTGACACTGAATAACAGACATTGAGAGCTTGGTATTAATGAACTTTTAAAAATACATAACACTACTACTAGCAGTACACTTCACATTGTTTTGTAGAAACAAACAAGAAATACTTTAAACTCATTAGTGCAACAAATTTTTGAAAAATTCCCACTGCACATAGGCAAAATTCTAAAACTCAGAAATAAACAAATGAAAACAAACTAACTTTTCTCACGAGCTCAGAAATATACAACAAGCTTAGCCGAAAAGTATTCATCTTTTTTATCTATTACCCTAAAAATCATTTCAATCAGGATGAAACTTGAAAAGTCATTATCTGAGGAAAAAAGTTGATTTCAATCTGACTAAAAATACATCAAACAAAATATAATGAAGTTAAACTAACTCTTTACCCTTTAAAATTATATTGCTTGGTAATGTGTATTACAAAACAAATCACATTTCATTTCTCAATCAAACTGACATTGCAATGATCATTACTAAGAGCTAATTGTATCATCATTATATAATGTTTTAACAAAGTTCTAACAAAATCTGTATTGACATAACTTAATCATATCTTTGACAAAGGACAAATCATCACAGATATTGATGTTTTGTTAGTAGGTCCACAAAACACTGTAAATCACAAAGATTTCTGTTCAAGATAATAATGTATGTTGTATCTGGTTTAAATGTCACAGTCAATTCTAGTATAATATCTTCATAACCTTTTCCTTATTTTTATTTTTAACAAAAAAAAGATTGAAAATAAAAAAGGTTAAAGGTACCCTAAGTGTTTAAAGGAACTTCCTTCTCATTATTCCCCATAAAAATGTTGGATGTAAAAGGACATGTTGGGAAACTGTTAATTAGACAGCAACCCACAGTCATCAATATACAAGGATATAACAATAGAAAGACAGACTGAAGTTGTTATTTCCTTAGGTTATTAAACATAGACCTTCTTATGCCACTACCCCATGTGACTACCATCATTCCCTAGAACACAGAATAAGTATTATCATGGGTCCACAGTCACTATTCAGACGAATACTACTCCTAATTCTATTATAGATTCTTGAAAACAGTGATTATTAATATTGAAAACTGCTTATGTTTGTAATACTTGCTTAGCAAAAAGGTTGAGGTAAAAGCCTGTGTTGAAGTCTGTTAAACAGATATAGCCTGCATATCAGGCTGTTGTTTTTATTCTTTAATTATTTCACATTTTGTCATGTAAGGGCCTTTTATAGCTGACTTTTTATCTTTTGGGTTTTGCTAATTGACAGTATTGAGAGTAAAAGCCATATGAGAAGGTATAGAATTATTGAGAGTTTGGGAAAGTGTTGGGTGACAGCATAAAGAGTATTGATAGGAATGAAGGCATAAAGAGTATTGATAGGAATGAAGGCATAAAGAGTATTGATAGGGATGAAGGCATAAAGAGTATTGATAGGGATGCAGGCATACAGAGTATTGATAGGGATAAAGGCATAAAGAGTATTGATAGGGATAAAGGCATAAAAGTATTGATAGGGATGAAGGCATACAGAGAATTGATAGGGATGCAGGCATAAAGAGAATTGATAGGGATGCAGGCATAAAGAGTATTGATAGGGATAAAGGCATAGAGTATTGATAGGGATGAAGGCATAAAGAGTATTGATAGGGATGAAGGCATAAAGAGTATTGATAGGGATGCAGGCATACAGAGTATTGATAGGGATAAAGGCATAAAGAGTATTGATAGGGATAAAGGCATAAAAGTATTGATAGGGATGAAGGCATACAGAGAATTGATAGGGATGCAGGCATAAAGAGAATTGATAGGGATGCAGGCATACAGAGTATTGATAGGGATAAAGGCATAAAGAGTATTGATAGGGATAAAGGCATAAAAGTATTGATAGGGATGAAGGCATACAGAGAATTGATAGGGATGATGGCATACAGAGTATTGATAGGGATAAAGGCACAAAGAGTATTGATAGGGATGAAGGCATAAAGAGTATTGATAGGGATGAAGGCATAAAGAGTATTGATAGGGATGAAGGCATAAAGAGTATTGATAGGGATGAAGGCATACAGAGAATTGATAGGGATGCAGGCATAAAGAGTATTGATAGGGATAAAGGCATAAAGAGTATTGATAGGGATGAAGGCATAAAGAGTATTGATAGGGATGAAGGCATACAGAGTATTGATAGGGATGAAGGCATACAGAGTATTGATAGGGATGAAGGCATAACAAGTATTGATAGGGATGCAGGCATGAAGAGTATTGATAGGGATGAAGGCATACAGAGTATTGATAGGGATGAAGGCATAAAGAGTATTGATAGGGATAAAGGCATAGAGTATTGATAGGGATGAAGGCATAAAGAGTATTGATAGGGATGAAGGCATAAAGAGTATTGATAGGGATGAAGGCACAAAGAGTATTGATAGGGATGAAGGCATAAAGAGTATTGATAGGGATGAAGGCATACAGAGAATTGATAGGGATGCAGGCATAAAGAGTATTGATAATGATAAAGGCATAAAGAGTATTGATAGGGATGAAGGCATAAAGAGTATTGATAGGGATGAAGGCATACAGAGTATTGATAGGGATGAAGGCATACAGAGTATTGATAGGGATGAAGGCATAACAAGTATTGATAGGGATGCAGGCATGAAGAGTATTGATAGGGATGAAGGTATAAAGAGTATTGATAGGGATGAAGGCATAAAGAGTATTGATAGGGATGAAGGCATAGAGTTTTGATAATGATAAAGGCACAAAGAGTATTGATAGGAATGAAGGCATAAAGAGTATTGATAGGGATGAAGGCATAACAAGTATTGATAGGGATGAAGGCATGAAGAGTATTGATAGGGATGAAAGCATAAAGAGTATTGATAGCGATGAAGGCATAAAGAGTATTGATAGGGATGAAGGCATAAAGAGTATTGATAGGGATGAAGGCATAAAGAGTATTGATAGGGATGAAGGCATACAGAGTATTGATAGGGATGAAGGCATACAGAGTATTGATAGGGATGAAGGCATAACAAGTATTGATAGGGATGCAGGCATGAAGAGTATTGATAGGGATGAAGGTATAAAGAGTATTGATAGGGATGAAGGCATAAAGAGTATTGATAGGGATGAAGGCATAGAGTTTTGATAATGATAAAGGCACAAAGAGTATTGATAGGAATGAAGGCATAAAGAGTATTGATAGGGATGAAGGCATAACAAGTATTGATAGGGATGAAGGCATGAAGAGTATTGATAGGGATGAAAGCATAAAGAGTATTGATAGCGATGAAGGCATAAAGAGTATTGATAGGGATGAAGGCATAAAGAGTATTGATAGGGATGAAGGCATAAAGAGTATTGATAGGGATGAAGGCATAAAGAGTATTGATAGGGATGAAGGCATAAAGAGTATTGATAGGGATGAAAGCATAAAGAGTATTGATAGCGATGAAGGCATAAAGAGTATTGATAGGGATGAAGGCATAAAGAGTATTGATAGGGATGAAAGCATAAAGAGTATTGATAGGAATGAAGGCATAAAGAGTATTGATAGGGATGAAGGCATAAAGAGTATTGATAGGGATGAAGGCATAAAGAGTATTGATAGGGATGAAGGCATAAAGAGTATTGATAGGGATGAAGGCATAAAGAGTATTGATAGGGATGAAAGCATAAAGAGTATTGATAGGGATGAAAGCATAAAGAGTATTGATAGGAATGAAGGCATAAAGAGTATTGATAGGGATGAAGGCATAAAGAGTATTGATAGGAATGAAGGCATAAAGAGTATTGATAGGGATGAAAGCATAAAGAGTATTGATAGCGATGAAGGCATAAAGAGTATTGATAGGGATGAAAGCATAAAGAGTATTGATAGGAATGAAGGCATGAAGAGTATGGGATTACAGCCTAAAGAGTATAGGGATGAAAGCATGATGAGTATAAGATAAGATAATTTTCTGACAAATTTTCGAGTATTGGCAGTATGGGAATAAATGGAATGGCAACATGAATAAATATGGGAGGGAAGATTATGAAAAGCTTCAAATGCCTTTAGAGAGAGACAAAAAAAACGGGACACACCCCTACTGAATGAGAATGCTGTATTTTGGAATTTTCCATATCACTTATATAACATTTTTCAGGGCATAACTCTTGTAAAAATAATCATTCACCACTGATTTTCAAGTTCATCCCTAATATAGCTGATGTTAATCTTTGCCATAAATTTCATTTAACTCCAATGTGAAATATAGGTAGAAGAGGGGTTGCAATGCTATTTTTCAATATCATTTACATTTCAAAGGGGCAATTTAACTACCATAAATATTTGATCAATTCTGATTTTCAAACTCACCAGATATTGATGATGTAAACCTTTGATATAAATGTCATCAAACTCCAATGAGAAATATAGGTGTGAGAGCACTTTTGATGTTGGTTTTCCACATTATTTATATTTCAAAGGGGCATAACTCCCTTAAAATTATTTGTTTGACTTTGATTTTTCAAATGTCTGAGATATTGCTGATGTCAACCTTTGATGGACAGCATTAGGAAAGACAACAGTATTCCATATCCCCAACTCTACTTCATGACAAGGAAAAATTAACAGTATCAAGAGTATAATAGTTACTAGAAAGTCATGATTTCTACAGACAGCATTCTGAAGAGGTATCAAAAATGTTCTATAAAAATCCCAAAAAAGATTTTTTGCAATTAACATTCATACACAGCAATAAATTTCATCAGAAGTCCTGTAATTTGTTACTTAACACTAATGTAACTTGAATTATTGATATTAACTAGGCTTTAGCTCCTGTAAAAAGCCCATTAGGATTACATCATCCTTCCATCTCATATAGAGATCAAAACCAGTTCAGAAGATATTTGAAGCCAGCCTCTGTAGTCAATAAACTGTCAAAGGTCAGTCAATGTTGGCCGACCAATATTCCTGGTGTGGATTCAGCCTGAAAGCTCAGCTATAGAAAAAGGAGAAGTCTAGAGCCATTTACACACTTTTGCATTCATGAAAGTAAATCCAGGGAAAAGCAACACATTCAGTATATTCTGCTTAATTCAATACGTAAATATTTCTCTTCACAAAGTACCAATACCCCAAATTAAACAACAATATTATGTTTGACAATGTCATAATACAAACACTGGAGTACATTGTCTAAGAAACATCATGTAAAATTATCATACAGATTTATATCAACATAAATATAGCTGTCCTGTTTCTGTTTATAGAACTTATTTCCAATGTTTATGTTTACTTTAGGTTCTCAGGTTCAGAAATACAAATAACACATCTTGTTGATGTAAAAAGTATTCCAAAAATTTCACAACAGTATTAGAACTTAGATTTTGCCTTTTATAAAGTATCCCAGGCAATTTACAAATCTTGCTTGTTACAAAAAAAATTATTTTATTCAATCACTGTTCAGAAAAAGAAAAAGTTAAATGAACATTAATCATGCGCAGACATTTATTTGGGTTGTTTTTCATTAACTATACTGACATGTAACATGATAATTTGGTGAAGTTCAGCCTTTGGCATTGAATATTTAAATCTTTGGAAAGATATCTTCATCATTAATTAAATTAAAATGTACATGTATTTTAGAGTTTAGTGACTGAAAGAAACCCATAAACATGCCTAGCATTGAATGATTGAAAGAAAAAAGAAATTAAAAGCAAAATCAAGGAAAATCTAGAATGTTTGAGTTTTTACTTCATTGGCATAAACCCTCGTTATATTTCTATTACTTAACAATGCAGATTTGTATAAATTTCTATAATTGCATAAAATATTTCAATGATTAACAAAAAACTCCAAAATTGTCCAACAGAGTCGTTAATGATATAATTAATTAGTAATAAATGTATGAACTTACCTTCGTTAACAAGATGTTACCAAACAGTAAAGAAACCTTGGTTACGATGATGTTGCTGATTTCCCAAAATAAACTTTTCTGCTACCTTCCTCTGATGAAAGCATCATACAAAAGTAAGATTAAATGGATTGTTTCATCAGAGCCGATAATAATAATCGTTGACAGTATATTGACATTCCTGTAATTACGTTACATTGGTCAATGGTTATGATTACGTCCCATTGGTCAGATCTCTAAATGTTAGTCGTAAGATCATAGATAGAACACAAGACAAACACTTAATCCAGATGAAACAGTTGTAGACGTTCTAGTTGATTATAATTGCAGGTACTCCATAAGAATTGTTGTACTCACAGAAAACTATATGGCTGATTACAGGTACTATACGAAAAGTATAATGCACATATAAAATGCACGGTAACTAATAGTTGATAATATGGATCACCCATCTGTTATACAGAGGTTATCATATAAACTGTAATTTATCTGATCTTATCCGAATATATAAATATGCTAATTTGTAAAACATTACTTCATGTAGGACTGAATGCATAATCATGCACCTGTATTACATAATGATTCACCTAAATCTTAGGCTTTCAAATCATATCTTTTGAGGATCAATGGTGCTTTAAAGCATTCAATAATAAGGTTAAAACATGTGTCACAAGGTTTTACTCTGAAAACAAAATATAACAGGATTTTATTTCATTAACAGATGAGAGATTTCTGCCAACTGCTGCCTGATATCCAATAGTTGGTCATACTGACTAGTAAATACTCAGAAATAATCGTTCTTTTTTCAATCACTGAATATTCATCGGAGTGAAACATATCTTATATATGTATTACGCTTTGTTATTCATAATTTAATCTGATATACCAAATCTCATCTAAGAATGTTATTCATAAAATAATACAACAATGTATAATATTCTTAAATTCTTTAATATGTCACTGTGCTTAACTAAGAGGAGTTGCCCTCCTTTCAGATTAACAAATGGGCCAAAATAATCTTCATAAATTCGTGAATTTAAATTGGTAAAATATATCAGTCTTTTGCTTGACAAAGATTGTTGTTAATATAAAGTAAATGCTGTGTAAAGAAAATATTACCATTCAATTACAATGTTTAACACTCTATTTCAGAAGTTCAGAAGAATAAACATCTTATAGATAGGTTTCAATATGAAGTATTTTGAGTTAATTCCCTTGGCATCCATTTTGGAGATGTATCTGGTTGATTTTCTTATTTTGACTAACTAAATATGGTAAATATGGTAAAAATAAGTCAGATGAGAGATCCTTACTAGATCCTAGTGATTAATTAAGTAAGGATAAAAGAAGTTAAAATTGTTCAGAAAATAACTTTTTCTAAAGTCTAGTGGTCAGAATAACAAGTGAAATTTGGCTGATAAAGAAGGAATTTGTGCACATATACCATATACTCAATTGTGGCCACAAATGGAAAGACATTTTTTACTAAAACCGTGTCAATCCAAAAATACCTCTTATCTAAATTAGTATTGAAAAGATTTACTTCAAAAACTTTGTATTATAATGACATTTTATAACTAATTTGTCAAAAACCATGCTTTTAAATCATTGCCTTTTTTTTATATAAAAAAAGTTATTAGATACTTATAATTAAAATATATTTTCTATCTAGTTTTTGATAGGAGATAATCAGGAACATAATGGTGATGTAAAGCCAAACTTATCTCCCATTTGTGATGTGAAGCATGGCCAAAGTTATCTCCCATTGAACTTTCATTCATCTTACAAATAGATTTTCAACTTTCTTTCAGAACACATAAACACAATGACCATTAAAATAAAACCTAGAACAAATTATTATATGTCATTATGATATGAGTTTTCATATTTTCATACAAGTGTGCATGATAACTATACATTTGATTTTTCCCAAGACTGATGAATATGAAAACTTTTATCATTATGACAATTTATAAGTTATTCACTAGTTAATAAGTTGTTTTGACCAATATGGTATTCTGAATAGGGAAGCAACATAACACATACAGACACACAGCTAACCATACTAACATGCACAAATCAGCACAATTTTCCTAGTGGCTTTTTTTTTAGTATGTAGTTCATTTGTTTATTTAAAGGAGGAAATTTGACAGATTGTATGAAGTGTGAACTGAGTTTATAAATTGATATATCTTGTTGACAGACCAGCATATAAAAACTAAAGAAATCTTTAGATAATCATTGGATATCTTCAAAAATAAAGATAACTGATAATAGCAGCTGTGAGTTAATGGCATGGCACTGCAATTAAATGATTTTTTTAAAGTCAATAAATCATCAAATCTTTTAAAGAAGAAAACTGGTCATGAAAAACTTGACTGTATATACACTGTCAATGTGATTTAACAGAACAGGAAATATTTGATTGCAAAATTTTACTATAATTATTTATCTCTGCAACGGTCTATGGGAGGTAACTCTAATGTTTTAATGCAGCCAACACATAAATGTTTGATACATCACAGTGCAGAAAGAGGATACACATAAGTGCAATTATAAGATAAATATTTGTGTGAAGTAATTATAAACAATTTATATTATTACACAGCTAATAAGAAGAAATGTAAACCAGTAAGTAAATATTAAACATCTGTGAATTAAAAAAAACTTTTGCACACTAGCTAAACAATTGATATGTTAGTAAAAACAAATGGCAAGACACTTACTGGGGAACTTTATTGGAGTTTGATGTTGGTGTCGGTGGTGACCTTCAATAACAAAATTGTACTTTTTAAGTTTTATTTTCTTTTAAACAACTACCAACAAAAGGCAACACACTGATTTAAAATACAATGTACTGAATTACTGTAAAATACTAACACTACCTAAAGCTGAAAAAAAATACTTTAAAAAGCGCTGTAATGTTGATAAAAACTACCTTAAGCTGAAAAAATACTTAAATGCTCTGTAAAGTTGTTTAGCACTACCTTAAGGTAGCACAATACAAAGATTTTTTACTTCCAATCTCCAACCTTTAAAATGATGTTACTTTCTTATGACAGCATACAAATTAATAAAAGAGGTATACATAGATAGATAAAAGATTAATCTTTTAAATGAATGCAATATTTTTGTTATGCAATCATTATGTAATCAATTATTATGCAATTAATGGCAAAATCTTGGTCAGTTCACTTGAATGGATTTAGCTCTGACATCTCTATAACTACACAAGAAATTTTAACGTTATCTTAATCAACACAGCAGGAGCTACAAAAGGGTGTCTCAAATTATCGCTATGCTATCGTATTCCATTCTCTCATAAATCTGTAATTAGTGTAAACATCCTTACCACATAAAAGTAGAGATTATTTGATTAGGTGTAAAATTTGATCTAAACATTCTATCCAAAATCTGAGACACCCTTTTGTAGATAATGGCTCTAGAAAGAACATATTATAAAATCAACCCTCTCGGGGTATCCATGAAGAAGCTAATTTCAATTGAAAGTGGAAAATTTCTTGTAAAATTTTGTAGACACAGTTAAAATTATAATTAATTACATAATTGTTGTATAATACTAACATTGCATTAATTTGAAAGAGTAATCTGTTAGCTATCCATAAATACCACTTTTATAAATTTTCAAGAATTATAAAGAAAGTTACAGCATTTTAAAACTGGGGAGTTGGAGGTATAAAATCTTTGTATTGTGCTACCTTAAGCTGAAAAATTACTTAAAAGCTCTATTCAGATGTCTACCTAAAACTGAAATAAAGCTGAAATAAATACGTTATTTGTACCTTGACCACATACTTAAGGATGTTTGCTCCTCTGTTTTAAAGTAACAAGCTTTTTAAAAGACTGTTATAAATAGATAGTTCATAAATGACAGAACTTAAGATGTAGAAAAAAATGACAGGTCTGTGTCCTTGTTTTTGGAGTAAAATCAATTGAAAATTTGGCGGGAAATGATTCTCTCTCGACTTTGCATACATTTAACATTGGCACCTTTTTTTTTACAAATACTATGAAAATATAACAAGGATTTTACAAGATTTTCAAATATGGCATTTAAAACAATATGCAATAAAATTATGAAAATAAAATTAGGAGTTATCATGGATAAAACTAGAGGATTCTGAATAACTAACAAAAAGTCAAAAACATGAGTAGCAAACATCCTTAATGTTAGGAACTAGAAATTTGATACAAAATTCCAAATATGTTTTTAAACTAGAGGGTCTAAAGGACTGTATCACTCAACAGGCACATTACCAATCATTTCTGTCAATTCTTAAGGAACATGGTGGATTGGCAATTAAAAAAGGTCTAACAAATTCAGAACACCTTTTTTCAAAAAGACATTTGAAACAGGGGAAGGAATAGGGCGGTCATCTTTTGAAAACTGCTAAATAACACACATTTAGCATGAACATTATAATTTTATGTGGTTTGCTACCAATGGTGTCCCAAAATTACAAGCAACCCTACTTAGAAAAATATTGAAGTGGGACTCCCAGTCTTAATCTGCAATAAGTCAAAAGCAGGTCAACCATATTGAATCTTACAATTGACCATACACTGCTGATTGGACAGTTATTTACATAGAATCAGCTACATATCTGCTATCAAGACTGAAAGGGAAGAAGAAATCCTCATTTTCTTAAAATTGTAAAAATCCCACAGCCATAATTAGGTCATAAGTATGTTGAACAGAACAAAACTCACAATTGAAACATAACTACTCAGGATATACAATATAACAGTATAAATTCTCCAAGGATGGGTGGAAAATTAACAAATTATTGTCATTTTTAGGAAATTTTCCATCACATGGACATAATTCAAAATTGAACTTAACTAGAACAAAACTCAACCAATGGCATACTGTATCAGCAAAATATGGTGTATGGTGAGCTATTGTGTATTGGAAGAAGTTCATCATTATTCCTCAGGTACTGATACTGGACAACTCTGTTATAAAAACATCATTGTATTTTGTAAAATTGAGTATTGGATATAACATGTATTTGCTGTTTTATTAGATAAATACATGGTTTAATGTTAAAAAAAAGGAAATTGGACTTCTTTGTTAGAGTAATGAAAATAAGTCAATTACATTGAAAAAGACAAAAGTATCTATATTTGTAACAAAATCATTGGGCTTGAAATTTTAGTTTCTTATGGTTTTAAAACTGAACAATGATAAGATAAAAAATCTTAAAAGTAATGCAAAATTGTGTTTCTTCCCGGTCCAACTAAAATTTGAACTATCTAAAACAACCCACCAGATCTATGGTACAAATCTTTTGAGATAAATAAAATAACCTACAAGTTATCATCAGATATGAAATAGGATAGAAATTAGCAGATGTCACGTTTATAAATAATATGATCTAAATCTGACGTAATATCATCTATAATACATCATAGACACCATCTGGAGACATGAAATCAATACATTTACATTACAAACACAATCAGTTTACTAAAAATTGACGTATACCATTGGAAGGGAAATAACTCTGGTAAGCTTCAACAATGCATTTTACTTTTTTTAAGGGAGGTAACTCTACTATGCTTGGAGAAAACTACACCATTTGTGAAGTATGAGAGTTTTCTTCTAGACAGCAAATTTCAAATAACAGATCTTTCATTTCACCAGTATCTATCAATCTTACTGAATGTTCTACAATGAGTAAAATAATATATGTTCATGAATTGTTTCAAACCAGTACCCCAATTAAAGATGAGATACTTGAATAATACTTACATCTCACTTTGCATGGAGGAGTGTCTGGACACTGATTTAGGAGACAAGTCATAGTCGCTGTCTGATCTGTAGAGAAAAGATTCTCGTCTCTGCGGAAGGTTTTGTAGAACAAGACGACTGGAAGACGGACTTGAACCTTCAAGGTTAGGACGACCTGGGCCAGTACCATTTTCTACATCAAAACTGAAAAAGACATAAATAAATGTAAAGCTATTGAAATGTGTTACAATGTTCCTGTTCCAAGTGTCTCAGTTTTTTCTTTTCTTAAAAAAAAAAAGATGTTGATGGCAGAATATTGGCAATATTTTCAAAACCCATTCTCAACTACAGATGATTTGTAGCTTGAATTACTGAAAATTCTAGTATGTCGACCTCCAGATATCTTTATTTTTGTGTTTGCTGTTTCAATGACATATACCCACATCTTTTTTCATATAAATAGTGTCAAATAAAAGACTGGTCAATATCTTAATGCTATAAGCTGAAATTTTGCTTCAAAGTACAAACAGTCAAAAATAAGGAGAAGTAGTATGATTGCCAATGAGACATTTGTCCATTGAAAGGCAAGTTTATATGAATGTATCCTTCCACCAAGTTTGTAGGTAAGTAGATCAGAATGTATCCTTCCACCAAGTTTGTAGGTAAGTAGATTTCTGATCTAACTACAAAAGGACAAGGAACAATAAACAATAAAAAAAACCCCAATTATAGCAGACAGAAACAAACAATTCAGCTGAACATCTAGAGTCTAGATAACCAAGCTTATGTTTGCAAACAAATATTTTGGGGAGAGGGTCCATTATGACTTTCTGGTCTTGATATCAATCAAAGAGTTTCTTTTCTCTCATAGAATTGGTCACTATATAAAGCTCTGACCCATACAAAACCCTTTGCAAACAACATTAATAATCTCAATTTCAAACTTTAAAGTTTTAATTCAAATGATATGGAGATATATGATATAAATAATGTAAAGGGAGGATGCTAAATCATGGGAAACAAAACTTATCAGACACACATGAAAAAAAACATAAAGTCGTTATGTCAATGACCCTTCACTATCTATATCTATCATTCTTTCTTAACATATAACAACCAATATGTGGGGAAAACGTCAACGCGACAGCAACCCAGCAATCATCTTACTAAATATCATTTATTTTGAACACTGCATAAATAATTTTTCTTAAAATCTGATGTCCGATCTTTTACATCCAGTATTTTAAAGTTTTTTATCTTTTACAAGCTCCTGTATCAAACTCTTTATCAGTACCTTCACTAAACGACTAATTGTATTATTCTATTTATTTGCTCCCAAAGCACTATCACCTTGGTAGCCGCTTTGCTTTTAACCCCAATGCTATTTTTCCTTCCATGAAAACCCTGCTCAAAACTTAACTTACAGAAACATGACTAATAACCCGAGTTTCTACGATCCTTCTATTCTCCTATATACAATACATTATCCACGTCACATTTTACATTTTATCGTCACACATATGAAACGTCATTCAATACATACTACATCATTAATCAAGTATTTTGTCATTTTTTAACAGGATGTTGTAAATATATCCTTTGTATGGTAATTGATGTTTTAATGTGGACACAGGTTGTGTTCGTAAATGTTATACAATTTTTTTTAAATATATTTGCGCCTACATGTACCATCTGGAATCAATTCAATGTATTGTTAAAGTCAGATAGAATTTTACATGCAAGCCAAGTCCAGGATTTTCTATTTGTTTCACAGTAACATGTGGCTTTGGAAAAAATAACTGATAAAAAGTAACTTAAAAGTTATAACAAAAATAATCAATAACTTTTCATTTCACAACACCCTATAGACCCCTTTCTTGGTAATTGGTAACTTTTAGGCAAAATAGACTGGCCTGGGGGTGGGGTGATGGGGAAAGAGCTCTTCAGATATTACAAATTTCAACTTTACCGCGCATACACAAGCTATCTTGTTTTCATGTCTTCAGTTTAATATTTACATCACAGAAATAAAGAGAAAATTTATGAACGTTACAAAAATTCCTGTAGCTACTAGCTATAAAAGATAAAGATGGAATTGGTTAAATCTATAGCAAATTCATCTGATTAAAGCCTCTGAGCAATCCTGAATTAATATGTAACAGATAACATGTAAACTACACTGGCAAATGCAAGAAACATGATTAATAATACATTTATAGTTTATATGTACTCTACATAAGAGATATTTTTCTTTTCTGTTTTTCTTCTTTGCATTTGTAAAATGGTGACCATGTAACAAAAGTGAAAATAGGAGTATATTTATATAGGTGAACGTTTATTTATGTGATATCACAATGAAAAATATCTACATAAGGTTAACTATGTAAATATTTCTTTGAATGGGTGTCTTCTTCCAATGCAAAATTATAAACTCCCAAGAAAGGATTTAACATGAAAACTGACGTCAACAGAAACTTCTTATAATAGTTCTTTTCTTTATTTGATTTCATTATTCAAAGGCTTTTCATTAAGAAGCTGAATGTGTTTAATGAATTGTATGTGTAATATCTATTTTATCTAAAAAAAACAGCCAATAAAATTCAATTACTAAACTCAAATGATGAAAAAAGCTTTTTAAAATCTTTATTTCCCTACCATTCATTAATAAATCAATTCTTATAGACTATTCTACCAAATTAGTTGCAGGTCACCTTACATGGTTATAAAGTCTAGGCTGACAATTTAACAAAAGTGTTATTAGCCAAAGATCTTAAACAACTCCAGCCTTCTCCCTAAGAAAAGTGATTACAAAAAATGTTTCTCCCATAGTGTCCAATTAATTGTAACACTATATGTAATACAGAATGATTGAATTAAGAGCTGAATCTGTATCATAAGTAAACATTAATATCAATGAAAGTTCTATCCATAATTAGCTATAGAATGTTCGTCTATTATTATTTCATATATCATATAAGTTTTAACCAATTTTCTTGCTAGTTGTCCGATTTATTTTTATATTTTGTCTTTTTTTAAAATAATGCCAAGCAATAAATTGTAAATAACTGAGGTGGCAGTCAGTAGCCATTATAAAAAGAACATATACCTGTCTTAAGTCAGGAATCTGATGTTCAGTAGTTGTCCTTTGTTGATGTGGTTCATAAGTGTTTCTCGTTTCTTGTTTTTTATATAGATTAGACCGTTGGTTTTCCTGTTTGAATGGTTTAACACTAGTAATTTTTTTGGGGCCCTTTATAGCTTGCTGTTAGGTGTGAGCCAAGGCTCCGTGTTGAAGATCGTACTTTGACCTATAATGGTTTACTTTTATAAATTTTGATTTGGATGGAGAGTTGTCTCATTGGCACTCATACCACATCTTCTTATATCTATGTTTTATTGTCCTATATTTATGTACATAAAAGAGAGGCAGAAGATACCAAAGGGATATATGATGTACATTAATTCTTTCTCAACATAGAACAACCAAAAGGTACATAATGTACACCACTTTTTTATCAATAAACATAGGACAAGCAACAGGTACATAATGTACACTTCTTTATAAATAATTAAAGGACAACCAACAGGTACATAATGAACACTACTTCTTTATCAATAAACACAGGACAAGCAACAGGCAACAGGCAACAGGTATATAATGTACACCACTTCTTTATCAATAAAAGAAGGACAATCAACACGTACGTAATGTACACTACTTCTCCGTCAATAAATATAGGACAACCAACAGGTACATAATGTACATCAATAAACATAGGACTACCAACAGGTACATAATGTACACCACTTCTTTATCAATAAATAAAGGACAAGCAACAGGTACATAATGTACACCACTTCTTTATCAATAAATAAAGGACAACCAACAGGTACATAATGTACACCACTTCTTTATCAATAAACATAGGACTACCAACAGGTACATAATGTACACCACTTCTTTATCAATAAATAAAGGACAAGCAACAGGTACATAATGTACACCACTTCTTTTTCAATAAATATGGGACAAACAACAGGCAACAGGTACATAATGTACACCACTTCTTTATCAATAAATAAAGGACAACCAACAGGTACATAATGTACACCACTTCTTTATCAATAAATAAAGGACAACCAACAGGTACATAATGTACACCACTTATTTTTCAATAAATAAAGGACAAGCAATAGGTACATAATGTACACCACTTCTTTTTCAATAAATATAGGACAAGCAACAGGCAACAGGTATATAATGTACACCACTTCTTTATCAATAAACTAAGGACAACCAACAGGTACATAATGTACACTTCTTTATAAATAAACAAAGGACAACCAACAGGTACATAATGAACACTACTTCCTTTTCAATAAATATAGGACAACCAACAGGCAACAGGTACATAATGTACACCACTTCTTTTTCAATAAAAAAAGGACAAGCAACAGGTACATAATGTACACCACTTCTTTTTCAATAAATAAAGGACAACCAACAGGTACATAATGTACACCACTTCTTTATCCATAAATAAAGGACAACCAACAGGTACATAATGTACACCACTTATTTTTCAATAAATATAGGACAGGCAACAGGAATATAATGTACACCACTTCTTTATCAATAAATAAAGGACAAGCAACAGGTACATAATGTACACCACTTCTTTTTCAATAAATAAAGGACAAGCAACAGGTACATAATGTACACCACTTCTTTTTCAATAAATAAAGGACAAGCAACAGGTACATAATGTACACCACTTCTTTTTCAATAAATAAAGGACAACCAACAGGTACATAATGTACACCACTTCTTTATCAATAAATAAAGGACAAACAACAGGTACATAATGTACACCACTTCTTTTTCAATAAATATAGGACAAGCAACAGGTACATAATGTACACCACTTCTTTATCAATAAACTAAGGACAACCAACAGGTACATAATGTACACCACTTCTTTATCAATAAATAAAGGACAAGCAACAGGTACATAATGTACACCACTTCTTTTTCAATAAATATAGGACAAGCAACAGGCAACAGGTACATAATGTACACCACTTCTTTATCAATAAACTAAGGACAACCAACAGGTACATAATGTACACCACTTCTTTATCAATAAATAAAGGACAAGCAACAGGTACATAATGTACACCACTTCTTTTTCAATAAATAAAGG